CAGCGCCCGGGAGGGGCGCGGAGAGCCGGGCGGGGGAGGGGAGCCGCCGAGCGGACGGGAAGCAACCGAAGGAGACGGACCGGAACCGGAAGTGATCTCGCGCCCCGCCCAGCGCACTGCGCCGGAGCTCCGCCAGCGAAGCTGCCGGCAGACATCACTTCCGGCGCGCCGGCACTTAGTGGAAGGGCGCCGTGACGTTACTTCCGCAGTAAGCCGACTCCTTTTGGGCTCGCGCCTGCGGCCAGGCCAGATGCCGGCATCGCCTCCGCCCCCGGGGCGGGCGTCCCCCGGGACCGCGCGCCCGAGCACACTGCACACCCGCGCCGCGTGGCGAAAGCCCACACAGTCACCCCCGGCAGGCCAGACAGCGGACACACAGGCTCCGTAAAATACAACAAAATGTTTAATGAGCAAATTCGTCTTAGCAAATATGAAACTGCCACAGAGAGAAGGGGGCAGGGCCGCGGGGCTGGGGCTGGAGCGGGGCAGGAGACTAAGAACCAACTACTTTAAGAAACCAGGGCAGAGCCCAGGGAGGACCAGAAGCCAGAGGGCAGGAGCTGTGGTCCGGCAAAGGAGAGGGGGGCACGGAGGGCCAGACAACAAAATTCAAAATAGTTTGGCCATAAAATATAAACACGCTATTTTCCTATCACAGGGAAGAGGGAAAAAAGGGTATAAAGGGAGGAGGGACTGTTTGGGGAGGGGCTGCTGGGGGGGGATCCTACTGGCCCTCCTGTGCACCCCATCCCACCCCTTCCCTCTGTGTCTGTGTGGGTGCATGTGTCTGTATGGGCCGTGTGCACTTCCCCAGCCCCCTCCCTGCCCTGACCCCCACCCCCCACCCCCCTTAATCGCTGCCATTCCAGTTGCTGCCGGCTGTCATTCGGCTGTCACTCCTCTGCCCATCGTCTTCAGAGGGGAAAAGGGAAGGACAGGCCAGAGAGGTCCCCAGCCTGCCCTGTCCCCACCCTCCCCCGGCCGCCTCTACCAGAAGTCCCGGCGGTGGTAAGAGTCGGGGTCACAGTATTTGGTGACAACCACTCTGTTGGCGAAC